CGTATTTATATATATTTTTCTTTATCATAAATTTATATAGATATAGTAATTTATTATAGTGAGATTTTATACTTAAGTTATCAGCCTATAGTTTCACTTTGGATTTGAGTTTTAGTGATCACTCTATAGTTTCAGTAATAAAAAATTTTAAACAAACACACCAAGCTTTAAAATTAATGTGGTTAATATTATTCCACCTTTTTGAAGATTCTTCTGATCTTCAAAAAGCATAGTGTATTCGAATACAATACACTATTCTCGAAAGCACTATAACAACACGATTATTAAAAGATATATAAAGCAAAAGCATAAAGTTTTCGATTCAAATTATTTAATTAACTAAAGTACTATTTAATTAAATTAGCAATTAAGATACTAAACAGGAAAAAAAAATAATATATGTAAAGTTTTTTTTAGATTAAAAACTATAGTACCAAAACGATTTATTTGGGGTTCTTTAAAGTTAATGGAAATTTTTCATTTTAAGTGAATCAAAGTTTTTATTTGAATAAACTTGCTTAAGATGAATAGATAAACATATTCACCTTTAAGATTTTGAACCAAATCACCTTTTTCTTCCCCTACAAGAGAAAGGATTTTCAAATATTTCTTAAAATCATATAGTTTCTCAATTGTTCTTTTCCAGCTGTATATTATATTAGGGGTACTCTTCTAAACTGATAAATGCCTTATAAACCTCATAAACGTATAAATTTATCTGCTTGATAAATGAAGTGTCAAATTTTGCATGAAAAATAGTACACAAAAACTTAATAAATTTACATGAAAATTTCACCGAATAAATTTATATCGTATAAATTTATTTGTTGGCAATACAGAGTTCTATTCTAACACAAACTATCATTTACAAAAATATACTTTTTAGATACTTTTTAGTATGGACTTTTCGCTCATTTTCGGTATTTTATTTTATAATTTATTGATAGCGACACAGCTGATCAGTAAAGTTCGCACAAATATTTAAAATTGCACCGATATTGGCTAAAAAATTGCCCTGCTGTGCATTGCATTTTGTGCTGTCATAATTATTGCTGATATAAACATTGCTAATATACAGCACATTAATAAATTGCGTTAATATAATCGTGTACGTAAACGCATAAAATTATACATTTGATAAATTTATATGCTTAGATGAGTACCGCTGTTATATATATTATATTATATATTAATATATATATTATATATATGTATAATATATTATATATATTACATTAAATATATTATATTAGATATTTTATATTATTTATATAATTTCATATATATTATATTATCAAGTGTACGTAAATCCACTGAGAAAATTATCGTTTATATTTAAACAAAAAGTTATTTTTTGTAGTGTAAACATTTTGTTATGTTGTATTCTGAATTAATTTGTAACTTTTCTGAAGTAAATAAATTTCAAACTTTTGCTATCAATAAATTAACAATTAATTTAAAGAATATTTCATTGTGAAACTTAGCAAATGAGGTGATAATTGAATTTATTAAAAGTCATTAGTTTGATCATTAAATTAAATAATTTGAGCTGTAAGCAAATAATATCAATAAATATTGAAATCTTATATGAGAATTGGAATAGGTGACTGAGTTTTGATGTGGTGATATTTGCAAATATTGAGAGTGCTAATTCTTGCTTTTGGATGCAAATTAATTTGTACACAAAATCAAAATGCGATATAAACATTTTCGAAAGCCTGAAGTGACATAAATTATGAATGCAAATGGGTAAGATAAATAATTTTATTTTATATTTGAAGCATTGTGGTTATAACACAAAAGTGATTTTATTCATTGTAAGTTCCTAAGTTCCGAAAGACCTTGAATATATTAAAACAAAAGTAGAAAGTAATTAAGTGTGATGTTAATAATAAAATTAAACAAATGTTCAACTTCGTAGTAGGGCAACTGAACAGGAAATGTTAAATATTTTGAAGATTAAAAACAATAAGAGGCAAACCCAAAATAAAGGGAAAAACTCGAATGAGAATGTGAACAGCTGCAAGTGAATCAAATCATTTTTAAAAGAGATGAGAATAGAAAAAACATATAATTAAAAAAAATCTACCATTACCAAACACTTTATTTATAGTAATTTAAACTAACAATTATGATAGACAAATTTATTTACTAAAATAATATTATTTTAAAACACATTATCCCATAGGAAATATAAAACTATCTGCGCTTAGAATAAAAAAACAGTAAATTTGAAAACCCAAAATGTGTTCTACGATAAATTTTTATTTCTTAAAAAAGATCAGAAGTGAAAATAATCAAATGAAAATGGAGCATCAAAATTTCGTCTGCCGAACTTCAAAGAGGCAAAGTATCAGCGAGTTTGCGTGATGACATTTAATTGTGTGTTAAAGATGTCAAAGTAAATAAATGCTGTGCTTCTGTGCGGGAAAGAGGGGACCAGGAACAAATAGATACAATAGATGTGTTAGGAACAATTTTATTTAGAATTTAAATTTGAATAATTAAGTAGCATTTACGTAATTTTCGAGATCTAATAGGACACGTGTGTAGCAGCCACTGTATTTGTTTTTTTTTTGTTTTTTTTTGTGTACATGAACCACTCATTTAAAATATTTAACACAAATTTGAATTTTACAAAAAATAAGGGTGTTTTGACATAATTGGGGTTTAATTTCTTATATTGAAGTATTTTTTATTGTACATGTAAAGCATGAGCGCTCTTTGACAAGGCAACAGTGTTGATATGTTACCACTTTACTGGAACTGATATATCAACTGATGCGTTCATGCTCAAGAACTCAAGCTGCGTTCGGACTCATGGTATGGTGCTTAACAATTTATGCATGTGTGGTTTTACTGATTTTTTTTAAAAGATATACTTTATATTTTATTAAAATCAAAAAGAAGAGCTCTTTCATTAAATGCTACTCCGAACTGAAGAGATAATCCTTCCAAAAAATATATCACAAATAATGATATATTGAAACATTATTCCACTGATAGCATATTAAAAAAAATGTTCTAGTGGAAATCATAAGAAAAGAACTTTAGAAGGAAATATAATTCTTTTTATGTTGGCGTATTTTAAAAAAAATTAATATACTAATAAATTATAAGAATGTTACGGATATACCGAATAAATTTTTCATTAGTTAAATTTCAGCATTTCAAAGTCTCGATGGATTAAATTAAATTGTCTATGTACAAAATAAAAATACTAATGTAAAATTAAATCCTGATGTCAGCAATTAGCAACTAGTTTTTTTCTTGTAACTAGTAAGAAAGTTTATGTTGTCACTAATAGAAGAACATTACTAGTATATTTACTACCACTAATGTTGAGTAGAATTTATACTACTCAGTTAGTAAGATACAATTTTATGCTGTTATCAGCGACGTATTAAGATGTTTTGATATAAACATGACATGATCATGAATGTTTTCTAATACAATTTTTAGAATCTAAATTATCTAAATTATATCTCTATAATAGAGAGTAGCTCTCTATTCGCTACTTAAAATACTTGTTTTGTGTCAGATACAGGAAAAATAATCCGATTTTAATTCAATTCTGATCAGAACAGGTTATGATTTGCTAAACAGGACAACATTAGTAAAGATGTGATGTTTCTGAAGCGAATTATACCATAACGTCTGATTTGCATCCAATTATCCCGATACATTTCAAACTGACTGCATTCTGAATAAATTTATAGTCGGATATATTTTGTGAGATATAATAATGCAAATCATTTTTAATAACTGTAGTATATTATTTTATTTCATTTGTCTTTTCATATTTGTTTTAATACACAACGTTACATATATTATTTCTCGGTATACATTACAATTACTAAGACTTTGTAATTATAATATCTATAAGATATAGTACAGTTCAAAAACATAAGTTCTTCTAAAAACTTTTTAGTTGTATTATATAATGTCTTATCATATAACAAACAACAAGAATGTACTCTTTATCTTTAGTAGAAATCTTTGAATAAGCAGAACTGAAGCTACTGACTGGCTATACGACAGTACATCGAATCTAAGTCGGCGCAACTATTTCAATATCAAATATCAGATTTTGTCGTTTTCGAAAATAGTTTTATATTAGGGTCTACTCAATGAATACCTTCAGTAAGTTAGTTTAAGTTTTATTTAGTTTTATACTAAATTCATAATTTTGAATTTAGATAATTTAAAAGGTTTTTCATCTTTACTAATAAACAGGCTGACGCATTCTAAAAAAAGTACTTTCCTCAAAATGTATTTCTTCTGGAGCTTAAAGTCAGCCATTCACATAGAAAATGTTTAATAGTTTCTTCTCCCATAAGTTTCCACAATTTCTGTAATAATTATTAGAAGAATGTCCTATACACCAGTGACCAGGAAGAACTGCAGTAAACCTAGCAGTATTCACTCGATCCCTTTTGATGAGTTCCAAAAACCGAGTGCCTTCCTTTTATTATTATGAGCAAGTTGGAGAAATTAGACGCAAAGTCATTTTGTTAACGAACTTCAGGAGAACATAAATCGGTACCCCTAAGATTCTTTAACTATTTTTAGATTTTTATAGCAAAAGTCCTACTATGATTATATTGTGTTAATACACTGATAACCGTGTTTTTCTTGTAAAATTCTATTCTATTATATTAACACTAAAGTAAAATGAAACTTATTTAATATTGATATAAGTTATAGAAATGAATAAATACGCCTCTGTATTATGTAAACATTCAAAACATAAAAAATTGAAAAGGAAAACGTATGTCATTCTAGTAGTTATATTAAATCGCGATTAGTCACGTACAATTTATAATATATTTGAATGTTACACAAAACACTATAACTCGATATAAGGGGCACAAAAAAAAACACATTTCACAGATATTATTATAGAATTTACGAAAGCAATCTATCGTATCAGGTAAAATCTGTGCATAACAGTTTTGTTGCAGTTTTGTTGTGTGACGATAACATTACCAACGACTCACCACAAATCGGTATAGGTGCATGAATGCTGGGTAATCCTCTTGGTAACCATTCCATCATTTATTATAGATTGTAATCCAACAAAGTTGAGTAAAGTGAAGGAAATGCTTCAAAAGCATACAAAGGGATGTTATTGCCAAATATTAAGGCTCTTAATCTTTCTGTATTTTGATTTTATTTATTTTTTCCCATTCGATGTTCGATGAAATTTGAGTAAATCCACATTTAATCACATACACAAAGAAAACACTTTTTATATATGAAAAGAGATAATAATATTAAAACTATATTCCGTCATATATTATTAAAGATCAAAGAATGGATATTTGATATTGAATTTATTAGTTTTATTATTCTTCGTAATTATCGTAATTATAGCACAATAATAACAATAATAAATTGTTTTAATTATATTTTATAGAAAGAAAAACTTTTTTTTCTTTCAAAAAGAAAATTCACTTTATTATAATAATTTTTTATTACTTTTTTATTTAAACACATTTTATCTTGTATGAATGATTGGTCTTGAGAAGTATTGCAGATATTTTAGTTATAACTGGTTCAGGGATTTTATGAAAGATCCCAATTATTTTTCCTTTAGTATCACATATGTATTTGAGATGTTACTGCAATTAACTATTTTGTTTCATTCCTTTTGAAAACTTATTAAATATTTACTCAATATATCGGAATATTGTTAAAAGAACCAGTATTGAAAAAAAAAAATACTACGTCGGTGGGAGTGAATCAAGAGCTCTCTATACTAACTAGCAAAAGCAAGTTAATTTCACTGTTTTCGTTCAAATTTATATTATATTTTGTAAATAATCCGCGTGCCTATTTAATACTTTGTTTGCTTGTAATAAAACCTTAATGTTTTTTATTTTAAAAAACACTATTCAAAAATATTTTTGTTATATTTGTTTTTTTTTTTTTTGTCATAAATTGCCTAATATTTTCTAAGCAGGCACACACTCTTTACTTGTCTACCGCGCGGAACTTACAACACACAACTGACTGCCATCAATCTTCAAAGCATTTTTCTGCTATCGATACAATATTATGTCTTGTTGAGTTTTCATTTGATTTTTTTGTTTTTTTGTTTTTCTACTCAATAAAATATTTTTATTTTTCAGCAAAGCTGTCGTCGTCACTGATTCTTTTTCCAACGGGAGAAAAAATTTACAAATGTGCGGGCGCCCACACGCCAATTGAACAGTATCAGCAGCGCGTACGATAAGTAAAGGGAGAAACTAAGATGCATAACCTCCCCCGTGGGAAATTCGAAATAAATGAACACTTCTCACATTGGCACTTATGATACGGTTAGGTTATGCTCAATTAAAGCAAAATTATTTATCATTTTCATTCATTTTATTATAATTAATTAGTTGATTATAATAATTTAAAGAATTAAGAATTTCTAAACTGTTAAAAGGATTTATTTGTATTTATCACTGATTACAAGTAATAATTTAAAATTAAGCACCAATCAAGCATCAATTAAGTTTATTGAGCAAAGATATAATAAAATATTTATACAAGTATCTTCAACACACATTTATTTATTTATTTTTTTTTTTTTTGTCAAATTTGTATACAAGCATTAAAGCACATTTATCCACCCAAAAATATAACAAGGACACGTCGACGTCTACGAAAGGACTAAATTTCAGAACACTCACACAACGCGTAGATGTGTCTCCTTTGCTAGAAATTCATGAAACGCATACTATCTCAAACAAACACAAACACAACCACACACACAAATGCATAAAGATTTACGTAAACAATCAACAACAAGAAAAATGTAACTGTGTTCTCAGAAATACAGTTTTGGCTCTAACTTCAGATAATATAATCACATTGCACTCATACTCATACTCATGCTCATACTCGCTTCGCAGCAGTCGTAGTTGCACTCGCACTCGAACTCGTACTTGTGCTCAACCTGCAAACTTGTAAACACACACTTGCACTTACACAAGCACCGTTATATTGTGCCACATTGAGCATAGAGAAGCGCGCGCGCGAGGAACAGGAGTACAGTACAGGAAGTGTTGCGCTTGAGATTTTTATTTCATTTCACAAGAGTGTTTATATGCGTTAGTGTGTGTGTGTGAATGTGTATGTGCAGGAAAGTATCCTGCATACTGGTGGTTTCGACTAAACTCTATATACAACGTACATAAATAACCTTTCATTTAATAAATGTGTATTGCACTGCTGAAGAGTATCATGACAGCGTATCCTTATGCTTTTCGTTTGATTGCGTTGCACATTGGGTGGTTTTGCTCGTTCGTAGTTTGCATTTTCTTGTACACAATTACTCTCTCGTTTATGATACTTTCTTACCAAATAGTGAGTAAGGGAATGAATAGTGAAGTAATTTTTTTTTTGTATTCTACACATGAATGTTTAATTTGATATGACAAAAATTCAAAAATATCTATTTAAAAATTTAAAGAAACTAAATTTTTAGCTACACTTTATGAAAGTAAAAAAAATTATATATTCAACAATATAGTTTTTATCAGAGTTTTAACTACACACTTAATACTATTATTACTATTCTCAATATATTCTAATACTATTCAAATATTGCATATTGCATTACTTTCACACTGCAAAAAAAAACACACAAACTTAATTACACTTATCAATTTTCGATAGAAATTTTTAAGAACTTCAAAAAATTCGCTCTTTCTCATTAGACAACTCAACTAGAGCAGTTAAGCAATTTAACTCGGAGAGAGTAAGTTTTTTCTGACTCATATTGTATAATCGTACTGGCACAAAGAAATTCATTTTCAGAGTTGTTGCATCCTAGCGGCATATAATGAGCGTGACAAACTAAACAATAGAATATAAAAACAATAACACATAACAAGTAGAAATAAAGAAAAAGAAAAAAAAAAAAAACAACAACCGTATAAAAGAAAACCCAAATAAAATGGCACAAAAAAATGCGCTAACAACAGCTACAAAAACCAAACTGTCAGAACAAGGAATAAAGTAGTAAAAGATGATATAAAAAATAATGGATTCCGTTGCTTCTGCTGCTGCTGCTGTTGCTGTTGCTGTGTTGTTGTATGCTCATATTGCATTGTGTGTTAACAGAAACACAACCATGATATCTTGAAAAGAGCATTTGGTTGATTTTCTTCCGTTTTGTACTTGTTGTTGTTTTTAGTATTTGTATACATAAAATGATGTGCTATGCTGTGCTGTGCTGTGTTGTACTGTGTTGTGTTGTGTAAGCAAGGGAAAAGAAGCTAGTTGAGGTCAAACTCAGCAGGCGATGCGTGTAAAATGGATAATTTGTCAATATGTTTTTCGTTTCGGATTTAGTAAGGCGTGCAGGCGTTCGGCCCTTTTCTATGGGCAGACGGCTATCTTGTACACACCCCTACAATGTATCATTCAAGTATGGTTAATAGAGTTTAAGGCCAGAAATTATGGCCCAGCATGAGGTTGAAGGATTTTAACAATAAACGCAGATGAATATGAGTAACTACTACTAAACATATTGGATTATGTGAATTTCGGAAATCTTTTCAAATAATATGTACAATCCAATGAGTTTTCAATCTTTTGTAATATGAGTAATAATATAGATAAGATTCTTTTGTTGTAATATCCATGAGTTAATCTTCAATAAACTACTTTTCGAAATTTTATTACATATTACAAAATTTTGCACGGTTTTTGATATAAAATATTTAACATTAAGTTTTTAAATGAAATTCTATTTTAATTAACTAAATATTAATATAAAAAATGAAGATCAGAACAGTCGAAAGATCAGAGGTTACGATACAAATAGATAACGTATATAATATATTGCTTATTAATTGTGTGGTAACAAGAAATTCAGCGATATAATCAGAGAATCTTAGTCTTCTTGGTGATCACCCAAATGCTTTATACCACTTTTGAATTTCTTTTTTGCATCTCGGTGATTAACAAGAAATTCATCGGTATAAAAAAAGAATCATAGACTTTTTGATGGTCAGGTTTTCAAGAACCTGACGATTAAACAGATTTCGACAATAGGCTTTCGTATAACTTTTAAAAATTACAGAACTTATACTCATAATGTTTTTTTTATAAGTGCAATTAATGTTAAAAATAATGGAAAAAAATCGTTAGTCTCATTACTAAATAAGTTTAGTCGTACAATGAAAGTGACCCATATAAACGGATCTAATAAAAAATGGAAAAAAATATCCTCAGTTATATTACTAAACGAATTGAGTCATATAATCAAAGTGTCGCATCTGAATTGCCCCACTAATTTGGATTCATATCAATCACGAAGAAAACACATATGAAGTAAGAAAGGTGCTAGTTAATAACAATAATAATGGTCAAAACAATCCAGTAATCAGTAGACTGCTTTATTAATAGCGCAATTAATGCGCACACAAAGAAGCACTTTGCCTTTCTTGAAGACGTTGCATTTTTTTACATTGTCATATCAATGTATGTGAAGGGTTCGAGCATAGAGAGAACGGGACTCTTGGTACTTTTAGCAGCGATAGAACCAAAGACTACAAAGTAGCAAATAAGTAAGAAGAATGTTTCATTAGTGCATTTATCGACCAAAATTGACCAAAAGTGTTATATGAAAGCACTTAAAATGGCCAAAACAAGTATTAAAGATAAACAAAACAGTCAATTTATATAAACAACACAAACATCAACCAAACTTTCAAACGTAATGTTAAATTTGAAAATTTCTGTAATAAGCCTCATTATCAATAAAATTAACTCAAAAAAATTGGGTGATATAGAAATTATTAATCAATGTTATTCTAAGTTCTAATTTCAAGTAAAAAAGGTTAAGCCATCCATGAAATAAAAGTTTCATTGCAAAACGTTTATCCATGCCCATTGATATAAAATTTAATATACTAATTAAACGTACAAAAGGGTTGTTATCTTCTAGAAACATCGCATTATGACAATTTTATTTTGATTTTATTTTCAGTAATATATTTTTAGTTTTTCTAAAAAAATATATTCCTACAATCTAAATAAAAGAAATGCATCGA